GACTACTAAGAGTTAGAAAATGATATGAATTAAATGTTTTGACACTCAATTATTAACTATAACTCTAATGGTTAACATAGGAGATTTCTATAGTTAACTAACACACTAAGCATGTGTTAGTGTGTTCTAATATTTATGTGTGTGTGTGAGTGATCAAGGCTTGTACAATAATTCTAAGTAAAGAAAATGTAAAATACATTATCTCATATGATCTTCATCTTCTTCACTTCATAATGCCTTGAACTCAACTTGCACTTGTTCATATTTTGATATTGAAATCTGCATATAAAAGTTAGTGCATTTGTATATAACACACATTGTATAAATTGTTATCATCAAAATAATATCATGGAGATATGATATTCAACATTCTTCTCTTTTGTAAATCAAGATTCCGATACAAGAAGATTGTAATTTTTTTCTAAGTTAGTTAGAGAGAAATTGTATTGAGAGAATTGTATTCATTCTTTGTCTAAGTTAGTTAGAGAGATAATACAATAAATCATAATCTCAATTGTCTTCTTACAAATTTTCCACCAAACAGTTGATGAACTTGAGCTTGAGTGTAGTAATAAAACTATGTGCTCTTATGTTATGTGTATTAGAGATAATGATCTCTGAGATTTAGATTAGGAGGAGAGTTAAAATTACGAACCTTTGGCTATGACGAATAGCATCTGTATATAAAGAGGATGTTAATGACAGATTGGTCATTTCGGCCATGCAAATGGCAGTGACAAAGTATGAGCTGGAAGGTGAGTCACCCTTTGCTTTACATGTGTCGGTTGGCGATAGGAGGAAGATCACTTTGACCTTCATTTGAGGAGTTATCGATGGGACGTAGGCTGATAAGTGGCGTGATGACGCATGATCTTTGAGTAGACATGATATGACTTGTTGTCAGGATGGATAAGCTTTTGCGAAGTTATCTTCTAGCTTCACTAAAAAGCAATGTCCCTCGTGATGGGAATCCCGATGAGAGTTGACTCGTTGAGAGGAGTTACAACTCGAGGAGTGCTAGCTAAATGAAGTCGGGTGATGACTCATCTTGCCTTTCGAGTCAACATGGAGGAGTATCACTCGACTGGGTCGACTAGGCTCTTGGCGAGTTTCCTATTGCAAGAAGACCGACTGGTACCACCTTTCGTATCGACATTGATGAATGTTGACTCGTCTGGTTAGCTGAGTCAGACTGCTAGCTAATCTCTGGCTATATCTTCCGTCGGTTGAGATGTTAACTCGTCTGGGAGGTCAGGATGTATCATGCCGATTAGCACCGCTTCTCATGTCGACACTAGGGTGTCGGCTTGTCTGGCTGGATGGAGATGGCGACTCATCAGATCATATATTTGGAAACAGTTGTACCCCATAGCAGGTGGCATATTTTCATCCACTCCTAATTATTCAATCAGTGTACACCCATGCGAATGTGGTCCCCCATTCTAATTGTTCAATTAGGCCATCAGATTCATGATCCATACTATACATCTTGCTCAAAATATCATTAAATGTATCTGATTAAATTTTCACATAGTTTAGAATCTCATAGAGTATGAATCAAACTAATTTAATATGTTAGTTTTTTAGACAGCTTAATAGCCATCCCTTTTGGACATAGCCAAAATAATAATTAGAAATTTAAAAATGGTATAACATTTGTAGGCTGTCTAAAAATTACTACAGATAGCTGATCCTCATCAAACACGGATGATAGAAGTTACAAATTGACGTCTTCTAGAAGTCTACAATTGGAAAATTTTCACGTAGATCAATGAATATAATGTGACGACCTTCATAACAACCGATGAAAGCTCTAATTCAACAACCTTCACAATCAATATCAGGAGTTATAATCTGACGACTCTCATATTTTTAAGAAGCCAAGATGAAGGTTACAAGATGACGATCTTTGCAACACTTTAGCAAAAGAGACTACAAATTGACGGTCTCTTCAAATCAAAACACAGATATCTCTCAAACCGTAAGGAATTTGACAAAAGGACAGGAGCAAACCAACCCCTTTGGAGTCGGTTTGGTCAGCTCCGTCTCGTTGAGATAGTTGATTTTTATATATAATTCGTCCAATTCCGACTTACGGTTTAATAGTTATGACCTGTTCTTCGTAGCAAGTTATGTTCTAAAGTCCGTCCGCAAGACTGGACTTCATCTGATCATGGGACTTAGCCCGAAACTCGCCAAGCTCGCCTGAGGCTCACCAAGATCGCCTGAGGCTCGCCTCTGTGTTCCAGAGTCAAAATGTATGGCTATACCTGTGTTCTAGATTCAAAACGCAGAGGTCATGCCCACGTTCTAGAGTCAAAACGCAGGGCTCATGCCCGGGTTCCAGACTCAAAATGCAAAGGTCATGCTCACATTCCAGACTCAAAATGCAGGGCTCATGCCCACGTTCCAGATTCAAAACGCAGGGCTCACTACTGTGTTCCTAGTTAAAAAAGTAGTGCGACCACTACGTTTCAGCCTAAACACAGACCTTAACTCTGTGTTCCAAGTCCAGAACACAGAGTTCATTATAAGAATGCCCAGACTGGCATTTGACTCGTTCAAAACACGAACTGAACGGTTTCAAAATCATTTTTTCTACGATTTGGGGAGCGGTTTAAGAGGTTTTTACACCTGATTAATAGGGCAATTAAGCTCCCATTAAGGAGAGGATTAAGGGGCGGTTACACCCCTTAATCCTCTATAAATACCAGAAACTCACTTGAGTTTAGGGATCGACTTTTTTGCATCAAAAAAGATCACAAAAGGAGAGATCGACAATCTCTTGAGCAGATCATCTTGGAGTTTCTTTCAGCAACAAAGTTCTTGGAGCTTGGTGCTTAGCTTAAAGCTGATTTTCAGTTCAAATCAACTCTGTTACAGAGTTTAAACTCACTCCGAGTTCTTAAACTCATTAAGAGTTATTTTCAAACTTACCATGCAAGTTATCCTCGATATCAATCAAGAGAAATCAACCATGTTCCAGTAAACTGAGGCGTTCATATCGTCAACGAGAATCGAACTCAACGCGAGTTTTGAGGGAGACATCTCATCGTTACCATGAAGAACCCAGTTTTAAACAAAAGGGAGGATCTCCGTCGATCTTCTTCTCTTTTGTAAATCGGGATTCCGATACAAGAAGATTTATAATTTTTTTTCTAAAGTTTGTTAGAAAGAAATTGTATTGAGAGCGTTGTAATCATTCTTTATCTAAATCAGTTAGAGAGAATAACACATTTTTTGTTCTTAATTTTCTTCTTCGAATTTTCCCACCAAACAACGTTTTCCACATATAGATCATGATGAGTGAAAATCACGATGGGCAGTATCGATCATCATTTCAGGTAGCCTATTAGGCCATCTCACGATAAGAATCTCATCTCACCATCTCATTTTATCATTTATATGTGTGTGTGCATATATATACACTTCCAAGCTAATAATGTAGGTTTTATCACTATCGGCTCTACATTACTTATTCTACACGTAAGGGTCACATGTGCGAGCATGGGCAAAATACCTGTTCAATATAATATTTTACAAATAAATTAAAGAAAATAATTAATAGATTATTTGCTGATTATTGAATCAGTTTCCTCCGGCCACTGGATTTACAAAAATTTCATGTATTTTTCTTTTTTGTTTGGATGTATCATATTCTATATGTATGTGTGTGTGTAAGATAATATTTTTAACTGTATGTACGAAATAAAAGCTCTGAAGGAATAAATCACTAAGGGGCTATTTGGTTGGTTGAGAAACTAAGAAAAGAAAATCAAAACACCCAACAGACCCATGTGAAGGTGTTTGATTTCTTTTTATTGTGCTTGGTTGAGAGAGAGAAAAAAAGAAATATTGTACATGTGAGACCCACCCACTAGTAAGATAATAGTGTCATGAGTCCCAAATTTAAGAAAACCCATTTCCTCCTAAAAAGCCCTGAAATGGGCTTGAAAATATAAAAATGAGTCCCACAATCTATTTCCCATGAGTAATCTCCGAAACTTAGGTTTCTAGGAAATGAACCAAACAGCTCCTAAGGTGACTTTCAGCTCTAGAATGAGCTTTCGCACGAGCTGTATTTAATGGGTCATAAATTATTTAATAACAACCAAATTTTCTTTAAATAAAAAACTTAGAATATTTTTTAGAAAAATAATGTTAATTCTATTGGAAATAACTATCTTTTTTAGTAACACTAGTTGGATTGCACGTGCAATGCACGTGGTAAAATTTTAAAATTTGTTATTTTATTATTGATTCATTTCATTATGATTTATTTAATTTAATCCATGTTTCAAACATATGGATGGAATTTAAACATTAAAAATGATTGAAAAATGGAATTATATTATGTATGAACTGGGTGATAATAGATTGTTTGCATACTTACCAATAGAAAACAATGAATAATTTTATAAAAGAATTTTATTTGATATACACTATTTATTTTCAATCAACCGATGCTACCTATATATAATTGACATCAGACAACCTATTTAATCATAATCATCCAATATAAATGTTACTAAAATAGTATTATAAAAAAATTAGTCTTACTTATTCAAGCATAACTCAACTCCGTAGAGTCATCTTTGAAGTCCTATGTCGTAAGAGTCATTGCATTTAACTTATCGAAGTAAAACAAAGTCACATGACCTTTCAAAAAACACAATAGACTAATCACAAATGATTCTTCTCGTCAAGAAAGAATAACGTCATAATGGATTTTGTTATAGATTATCTTGGAAATTAAATAATTATTACCTCAAATTAAATTAAGTTTGGGTAAAATTGTTGGAAATCTTCCTCCAATTAAGCTAATAAATGTTCATTTTCTGAAATTGCTTCAGTCAAAAATTGACATAATTGAAGGATGAAAACAAACATGAACCTTTAATAATCTTGAAAGTAGAAACACTTGTAGTTTTTAAACAAATGTCTATAGAAGTATTATAGTATATTTTAGACGTTGAAAATAACCAAACAAGAAATCCAAATAAGTTCACTGTTATCACGTTTCATAAAATAAGGCTTTTTTAGATGAGCACATAGATGAAATCAAAAACATTTAATCCATAAATCATAAAACATTGGCAATATGTTTTTTCAGAGGAATACATTCACAACTATACCAAAAGCACTCCCTTCCAACAAGAAGACAATCTTAGGGATTAGAGAACACCAATACAACCACTCATGCAGAGCCACCATCTAACAGCTATGCATTCTTCAAATAATACATTAATAAATATTTACTATTCCTTCTTTCATCACATTTCATTCCATCTTCGCCTTTGAAAGATCCTTCTTTCGCCGCCTGAGCATGTAAGTATACATGTGTGGGCTCCCTATGACAAGATGTGTTCTAACAAAAGAAGTTTATCGATGACCAAATAGGAAGTAACAATTTTTTTGTGATAAATATTGACATAGATTTTGATAATATAAGATACATACTTGGCACATAATTTTCAAGAGCAATGATAGTTGCATAGAAATAATCGGAATAGAAGTTCCACTAGTTTGGTATCCTAATGAAGTATTTTTCAGAGGACTGTCATTACCAAAAACCAAAGGATGAAGTCATTCCCTCATGATAGCCAATAGATGAAACCCAATATGCAATGAAACATTTTTGGTACTTTGATGTAGTCCAGAGCTATAAATATCATGTTGTCCTTGCTTGTGATGCCAGGATAGTATAAGATAAAAAAGCTGTTGTATCTGAAATTATATACTCACATTTAAATTACATAAACACATGTAAACAAGTAGAATTATGTCAAATGCAGCAAAAAAGTACCTTATCCATAAGAGTCAGGATGGTGCAGATCCAAATGCATACTATACAACTAAAAATATTGTATTCTTGTGATTCAACAAATTGCATAACAATTGTTTCCTACGGTAGTTTTGCTCAAGGGCTGTTATTATTATTTTTAGGCTAATTATTTGCAAGAGTACATCTTAGCTTCGGAAGATTTATAACACAACTCTCATATAATTTTCAAAATATAAGAAAACATCCTGTAGATTTAGTGGTTATCATAAAACTCCCTTGAACTTTAACATTTTATCAGGAAAAAAATCCCAAAAAATATTAATCACAACATTTCACATGCTTGCAATTCCCAAAAACATGAAATTTTACAATTCCCAAAAATAAAAGAGAACCAATGCAGGTTCATAGGCTTGCAATTCCCAAAAACATGAAATTTTACAAAATGTGCTACCTCTAAATAAAAATCAAAGATGTTGTCTGATAAGAGAAAAAATACCTCTCCAGCATCAGTGAGGTAACCGCCCATCGCTGAGAAGACCCTTATATAGATAAACATTAGCATATTGATTGCGTCCTAAAACACAGAGAGATCACAGGAAATAAGATATAAGTAACTCGACATATTCAAGCTCAGGATATACAGTGAATAAATGTGTGCTCAACAAAGTATTGAAACAATTCAGGCATTAAGCTTAAAATTTTCAAGCACTTGATAAGGCCTGTTATGAACCTCATGGATTTCAAGAGTGGGCATGTGTGGTAAAAAGTCATTTCCCACAAAGAAGCACATGAAAACAAAATCATCCACAATACGTTCAAAGTTTATCTCAAACGGAGGATGTGATATGTCCAGATCATTCTCCCAGTACTCCCGCACTACCCAGATGTTTAGGAACTGTCAACAGAAGAAAAGAATAAGTCACGTGATGATATATAACTAATAGAAATTGTATAAAAAGCCAAAACATGAATTTCAGAATTGAATTATAAACATGCTTTACATCCGAAAAGTCACCTGGTATTTCTTCTTGTGAATTGTAATATAAATCTTGTCATTTGCTTCTGTACCTCTACATTCAGTTGCAAGATGTCCTACTTGACCACAGGAAAAGCATTTATCTTGTTGCCCTAGCATTGTAACCACCTGTATAACCAGTCAAGCATTACACATAAAGAAGACATTGCGTATGGAAACATATAAAAGGTCACATGCAATTGTAAAATATATATTTCTCTCATAAAGATGCAGAAAGCTTTTACATACCTCTCTTAAAATTGAGAAATAAACTTCATGTGTAGCAAGAGAGAGCATTATCAGATCTGCATCCTGCACATAAAAAAAGTTTGGACGATGGCGGTGTTGTGGGAATAGAAAAAATAGGGAGAAGTTCTTCAAAACGACGAGTCAGAAGTGTATGTCATGATTTTCTGCTCTCCTTCGCCAGGAACATTTGAATCAGATAAGATTACCTTCACATAATCACCCAATGGAGAGCTCTATGAATATAATTAGAGAGATAAGTATCCTGAAAACCAAAGCAATTTAAAGAAAACCAGCAATAATTACATTGCTGTGCAAAGAATGGCCAGGTTGAGCAAGGACTTGAATGACGCTGCATAATTGACATCTAGATCCCTACCTTTGTAGACTACCATCCTTGAGTCCGGTTCAATCTCAAATGTATGTAATATTGAAGTGCAACAGAGAGGGAAGCCATGAACTCTCTCTAGATGAAACTTCATAAAAAAGATCAAACACTATTATGGGTGACACACCAAACTAAATCTTCATAAATGAGATAAATGAGTGCTTCCCAGATGAAATTTTTCTTCTTCAACCCTGTTAGAGAAGCATATTCATTATGATTTAGCTTCTTCACATGATTTCCAGTCGTGATTGGTTGGGCTCAAAGTACTTTAAACTGAGAAATGTAAAGATTGAGATTAAACTTACTTTTTAATATTGCTCCTGCTTCCCTTTGAATATTGAAACCCTAAACAAATTATGATGAAGCAAATAAATTAAAGAGAGTTTGGGGAAAAAAAATAAAATAAAGGACTTCATAAAGGATTAATGTAGCAACCGCGCAATTTGGATTAAGGACTTCATTAAATGTTGCTATCTTTAGCAGTCTTGTATTTTCAATAAAAATCACCAATGTGTTTTGTAGTTTCACTTTGCTCTTAAGTGTCATCTCTACTGGATTATTTTACTTTCATCCTTTAGGTCATAGTTGTACTTATGTATCATATGTAAGGTAGATATATTCATTCTTTTATATATTTTCATTGTCCTAAAATCTTCTTGCCACTTAACAGCTCTCTTTTATCTCTCCAGCACCAAGCCACCTAAATCCATCGAACATAGAAATTCCATATTCTCAAAAATGATCTTCTTTTATAGAGAATCACACTGTAGTTACAGAAACAACTTATAATTAAGATTAACTACATTTAGATAATTGATCTTATGAGAGAGTGCAATAATATGAAACAGAACCACATTTTAAATCCTTTCACTGTATCATACAAATGAAAGAAGAGTCGGTACTAATACCTCACCCTCCCAAATAATGTACAGTGCCTCCCCAACTTCCCCCTCTCGAACAACATATTCACCAGGATCTATACACAAATATCCCAAAAAGAAGACAGTTCATAAATTAGATAAATAAGAGACAAAAACTTGAGTTAAAAAATAAATAAATATCTATAGCATATTTCAAGAAATTTTCCATGGATTAAAAGCTATTTATATGATACAATCATGTCTACTGGTAACAGGCTGCCAAACCAACACTAAGACACTTTAATTAGACCAGCAATGTGCAAAGTACCCACCATTTTGATCCATGGGAGAAGGAATCACCAATAATTATAACCTTTTTAGTGCTCTCATTGTGAAAATTTGTGTTTTTATTGCTGCATACTGAATAAACCAACATTTCTTTGACAACAGGATGTGTGTGCATGGGTCAAACTTTCAAAGCAACAAGAAATCTTTGAAAAAATTAACCAAAACTTTCTGAAATTTCTATTATTTGTAAAATTAAACAATGCTTAAAGTTTACTGCAATTATAACTAAAATTACAGGCTTTTGGCTTTGACTCGCCAGAGTGGACCACAAACAAAGTCAATTACCAGCTACTTTCTAATAGATACTTTTTTAACAAAAAATATCAAAATAAATCCCAAAAATTCATTAAACTCACAATAATCTAATACGTTACTATTCATTCTAGCACCTTTCAAAACACCACTATTCAATAAGCAACCTCTGAAGAATTAAACAAAATATTTCAAAAGATTGAGAGGAATTGAGAATTTCATCGTATCGCTTGATCCTTACGAGCTCAGCGATCTTTGTAAGTGAAGAACTGGGGAGTCTCTGCAGCAATGGGACTTGTCCAAGGAACTCAAACACTGAACAGATAACAACAGAGAAGAAAAAAATAATTAATTTTGCGAAGGAGTTTGAGATTTAGCGAATTCAGAGATCTACGGTTTTCAAGAAAAAAGTCACCTAAATCCATCATTCGCAGGATAAATCAGAGATCTCCGGGACTTGTGCTCTAAATGTGTAAAAAAGTCACCTAAATCCATCATTCGCAGGATAAATCAGAGATCTCCGGGACTTGTGCTCTAAATGTGTATGATTGAATATGATCGCAGGATAAATTTTAGTAAAATAGGCGTAACTGATGATAGGATAAATTTCAGTAAAATAGGCGTAACTGATGATAGAATAAATTTTAGTAAAATAGGCGTAACCGATGAATTGAAAGGAGTAGGAGGAAAATAGGTGTAACTGATGATAGGGTAGTTTGGGAGGCTATTTTGGGATATGTTTGGTAATTAAATTTGGTGGAAGGCTATTTTGGGGAGGGGGATATGTTTGGTAATTAAATTTGGTGGAAGGCTATTTTGGGGAGGGTAAAGTTTTTCATGAACTCCCTCTTTTAAAGGGTAAGGTGGAAGGCTATTTTGGGGAGGGTAAAGTTTTTCATGAACTCCCTCTTTTAAAGGGTAAATAGATATGTAACTATAATTACCTATATATTATCATATAATTATAATTAAGAAATGACTCCTTGATTCTTCTCCTACTAACTCAAACTTAAAAAAATAATAAGCCCAATAAAGATTCTATTAGAACCACCTCTATAGGAATTAGGTGGTTTTAACCATATATTAACTACAATTTCTAAAGTAGTTTTAATAAAAAATAGAATAGCTACAATTTCTAAACTAACTCCCTAGTTATCCATGTACGGTGTAGATCCCCCTATTTATATGAGGTGTTTTGATAAAATCTGCACTCTGATATGCCCTAATATGGCCCACAGTTGCATCTTCATTCAATTATCAACTCATCTCCCGTTAGTCAAATCCTGCGGTCAATAAAGTGCCACCCCACATGGGAATATTTAGATTGATACAAAGCCAAGTGATCCTCCAATTATTTGGCCCCACAAATCATTCAAAAACTTATTTTTTATTTTTTATTTTAAAGAGGAAATTTTCTTACAATTTTACATACATAAGGTATCAAAACTCGGGCATGGCTAAGGGACCCCTAATGCACAGCTTCGGGTACTCCAAGAAATTAAATTCCTATCAGTGTTTTCATGAGAGGCAAATCTAAAACATTAAAGTACTACTCACGAAAACAAATGGCCCAGCCAAATTAAGGCAAAATAAACAACATTGTTGTTCTGATGTAACAAAGATACAATCAGCTCTGGACCATATTTGATTAGGGTTATTTAGTTATTAATCCCTCAAATATTCAAAAATTTCACATTAGTCCCCCAAATATCAATAACAGCTTGCCCCTCAAATCCTAAGAGGTATTGTAATTTAGTCCATCAATGGCTAAAGTATCCCTTAGTTACGACTTCGAGCAAGTCTAGCCACAGTCGCGAGTGGCTTTCACTTGCATTGTGGAAGGGGACTTCGAGCAAGTCTAGCCACAGTCGCGAGTGGCTTTCACTTGCATTGTGGAAGGGACATATGTTATTTTAGGGACATGTGTTACCTCCATATCCCTAGTGAAAGCCACTCGCGACTATGGCTATAGACCCATTCTACGGCTTCCCTCTTAAAGCCCATCTTGTTGAAAAATGTTTATTAATGCTTTCGTACTCTAAAGTTTCCACCTTGTAAATTCTAATACCCAAAACTTTTTTTAACACTTTGATAACCTAAAGTTTATATCTTTTTAAACTTTGACCTTAAAGTTTCCTCTCTGTCATAACAAAAGGGTCCAAAAACATTTAAATTAAATAGCTATGTATCAAAGTTAAAAAATGTGTAAACTTTGATGTGTGAAAGTTAAAAAGCTGAGGAATCTTCAAGTATGAAAGTGAAAGAAAATTAAATGTAAAGTTTGGGGTATCTAAGTGACATTTTTTGGATAGCAAAATTTTAAAAGATGTAAACTTTAGAGTGCCAACATGTAAATAACCCTAGAAAAAGAACATCGGCTGAGAGTTATTTTGGTCATTAAGGGACCAAATTGCAATAACTCTAGGATTTAAGGGACTAATGAGCAATTTCATGATTTGAGGTACAAATATCTACATAACCCTTTCTGTAGAGAAGATCACAGAGAGGAGGCTCCTCTGAAGTGCTGATAACATCTGAACTTAAACGGTTAAAAAGAAAATGAAAATAAAGAAAAAGAAGCCATTCCGACGACCACTGTTGGTCATCGCCTCTCAAACGCTCAAGCAACGCATAAACTCCCACTGTTGGTCATCATCGCCGCGACCATCACCAACACCATCAGCAGCATAATCAAGATAAGGCATCGCATCAAACGCCCATGAGAGTCTGAGAGCCACAGCACCACCATCTCCATCATAGTCCTCCGCACGCCGTTTGAGCGCCTCCAACATAATCTCGGGCTCGTGCTGCATCGCACGCAGCACATCAGCGCACGACGGGCCAGCTACCGCCCGCGTGACCGCGAAGCTGCACGGCCCCTCGCTCTGCGACACGCGCACGACGCTGGGAACAAATTGGCATCCTCCCCGTGAGCGCCTCTGTGATAAGCCGCCTGCCCCCACCGCCACCAACATGCCCAAATAGTAACCGGCCGCGGCTCCGGCTGAATTCGGGTGCAATGGGAGGCCTGTGCCGCCTCGCTCTCCTGATGAATTTGTCGATCTTGCCGTCACTGTCACAGGTGAGGTCGGAGAGGACTCCGTTTATGACAGGTTTCTGGTCGAGGCGATGGATGGGGATGATTGGAAAGAGCTGGCCGATTGCCCAGAAATCGGGTACGGACGTGAAGATGGAGAGATTGATGTTGTAAGTGTGGACGGAATGGCCCGCTCCGATCTCTCTTGATACTAGATCGCAGAGCGTGTCCACTGCTGCGAGGTGTTCGAGGCCGAGCAACCCGTCTTTGAACTGATCGACGCACCGGCGCTTCAGCTGGTCAGCGAAACCAAGGCAGGCTTCATGCTCTCCATGCGTTGCGGCGCCCATCAGATTCCGAGATTCCGGCAGTCGATTCGGGCTTCGCCTGCTAACATGTCCAGAAGATGAGCGAGATTAGGATCAGGTGGGGACGGCTCGTTGGCGTTCGACGAAATTGCTTCAAAGACGAGCACAGAGTGGTGTGAAACCAGAGCTCTGCCACTCTCGCTGCAGATTATCGGATGACGAACATTCTTCCCATCACAAGCAAACTGAACAGTGCGAACCACTGCATCCGCATACTCGTCGAGGCCGTACCCAACTGACATGTCGGAGCCTCCGGAATGCGACCCATCATAATCGACGCCAAGACCACCTCCAATGTCTATCACACGCAGCGAGGCGCCAAGCTTCACAAGCTCGCAGTAGATTTGAGCAGCCTCGCCCACGCCGTCGGATAACAAAGCAGTGGACGGGATTTGCGACCCGATATGAAAATGCAAGAGTTGGAGGCAATCAAGCATTTGATGGCTCTCAAGTTTCCTAACAACAGAGAGGATTTGAGCGGTTGCAAGCCCAAATTTGCCTTTGTCACCGGAGGTTGATCCGAAATGGCCGGAATGCTTCGTTCGGAGCTTTGCGCGGACACCGATAACGGGTCGAACGCCAAGCTTCCTGCTCGTCTCAATCACTACATCAAGCTCCTCCTCCCGCTCCAAAACGATAACAGTATTCAGATTTAGCCTCCTACCCATCAAAGCAAGAGAAACATACTCGTCGTCTTTATACCCATTACACACAAGAAAAGCATCAGGGCTTCCTTTAGTTAAACAGCTCATTGCAAGAAGCAGCTCCGGCCTTCGATCAGCTTCCAAGCGAACCCCAAAAGGGCAGA